GAGAATATTTCATTCATTCAGATCTAGGATGTGCTATTTGAGTGTTCCCTTTATTTTTTTTGAGCAGTGTATATATATATATAAATTAACCTTTTCACTTGAACTGTGTGGCTTAGTTACATCACAACACTTAACTTATTAAAACTAAACTTCTCAATGAGAGGCTGCAGAATACTCACCCTGCTCCTCATAAGGGTCATCGGGGTCATCTGCTATCAGCTCGGCGTTGCTGGGAGTCTCGTGGTCTTCTTTTGTCACGAAGATGATCCGGTCCTTACCTTAAGTAAGAATGAAAAATCAGCAACAATGACAGTGAATGTGGTTTGCTTGCCAGGTTATCCGTATTACAGGGACAAAAGCTGAAGTACTGTATAACTATCGCTGCTGTTTCACTGAAAAATGGACAGACAGCGCCCTCTGGTGGCCACACTGATTCAAATGATTTCCGCGACTTATTAAACAACACAACAGACAATTTATCCTCTTTGTCTGTTATGGCGGTACTCACGGTGTAATTTACTTAAGCTCTGCAGTTTAGTTCCAGAATAATTTTACATCTAAAGACCGCTTCCTTCCTAAACCGGCTATCTACAGCTCGAGGCTGTGGGAAGTTCTCGCTGTTTCTAGACGTTAGCTTAGCATGCAGCATGCTTGTCCCTTACCTTCCCCGAAATGGACCGAAACATGACACTAAAAAACATTTAAATTACCTTCCTGCTTGCAGTACGACATGTCTGCTGGTATTCTTGTCCGTGGACCTTCGTCCCTCTCGATAAAAGACGACCGAGGCGAAAGGCACCGAGAAACAACTGAGATTTCATTTGACAGAATAGCAGGTGTCACACGGAGTTCTGTGACCGGCGGCGTTGACTCCGCCCCCGAGCCGCCTGCCTACACGGTGACCTGTCCCTGTTCGCGCACAAAAATGACGTCACACAAGTACATTTTGTCATTTAACATTTACGGGCAAAATTTCTGTATTTTAAGTGTAATATTGTTTTTGACTTTTTTTTTTTTTTATTAATTGAACTTTCAACGTTTTGTCACTTTGCAACCGTAAGATCTCAGCTTTTGACTGATAGCCCAAGTGTGTGTAGTTTAGATTCAAACTGAACGTTTTGGGCTTCATGCAAAATTATCTTTGGGGAGAAAATCTAGCATTGCGCAAAACACTGAACACAACACTCCCCACGGTGAAACATGGAGGTAGCATTATATATGCCAGAAGAGTGTAACAGGTTAGATTTGGTTATTTAAAAAAATAAATAAATACTGTGACTAATTTTACTGCAATTTACCTGTTACACTACTGTCACTTAAGCAAAATTTCTGGCAGCCCTATCCACCTTGTGTTACTTTCCTGAATGACAAACAAGCAGTTTTACCAAAATGACATCTGGGTTTTAGACAAGCTTCATGGTTTTAATACTATTTTTAATCTTCTGTCAGTTTTGTTTTGACAATCAGTGAGATGTTCATATTACTTTGTCTTCATTATACTGTTTGAAGGCCATAGAGGTCTACGAACAAACTACAGCTTTGATCCACGAGAAGGCAGTTTTGATGACTTCCTTAAGGTGGCATGTCATAAACAGGAGCTTCTTAAAGAGACAGAAGCCCAATTTCAAAGCGTTAAAATGCAAAGTCAAATTTAACTTGTCATGTTTGATATATATAGTATTTGTATAACAACTGAAGGTAACAGTTACTAGATGATATAACATATCACTATGTGCCTGGAAAATAAGACATACGATATTTTTTTTATTATTCGTCATAATAAAATACATAACACTGCCCATATAAGAAGTTCAACAGGTATCAACACTCCTTGCCTCTTCTTTTTTTTTTTTAAACCATTTTACAAATATCCATTCAAAGATCATTATAAAAAAATGAAACCACAAACTGTGTTGGAAAACATTCTCTTTTTTTAATAACACAATTATGTCTTACATAAAGTAAAAACAAAAATGAACCCCTTTCTCAGCCCTATCAAACCCACCCTCATCCCGACCATCCCGGCAGTTTTCAGCAGCGATTCAGTCTGGGGATAAAAGAGCATGGCGACGCAGGCGAACATGTTCCACTGAGGGCCCAGGGACATTGGACAAACGCTGTTCCCAGCGCAAGATGGCTGTGGATATAAACAGTCTGTGATTTAAAAAAAAAAAAAAAAAGAAAGAAAATGAACATGACAAACTGTTTGTCTGAGACAACCGGAGACAATTACGAGGAGTGCCGGCATATTCTCGGTATGCTTTCCGCATCCTACTCTGGGCTCCTGGAAACCTCAGACATGGTTGACAGAGGATGTACACAGCATGGCTTTCTATTAACTCCCCCCAAAATGTCCAAACATAATATTTTCTGCTTGAGATCAGGATCAAAACGATGTTGCCGTCTTAGTGTTCCTTAAACGCCTACAATTTAAAAAAAAAAAAATGCCTGAGGTAAGTCGAAGACAGCCACTCACAAACCGTGTGCTTTTAAGCGTCATCAGGCTGCTAGAGCAACCAGAAGGCGATTCAGGCAGCCTGCAGAAACCTCTACAGAAAGATAAAAGATGGATGACAACCAATACTATGCTCAGCTCTCAATGTAACCAAAACACTTTTCTCAAGCACGAGCAGAACGGTGGAAAACAAAAAATGGTGGAGTTAAAAAATAAAAAAAATTACTTATCCCTGCTGCGAAGTACACCAACAGAAGAAGTTGCAAAATAAAAAACAGGCGGGTTCTTTGTATGTGTCAGGAGATTGGCAAATTTGATATTAGAAGAGCAGCGCTCCCATACTGCCAACTTCACTCTGCTCTTTCACAAAGATCTCAAAGTACTGGTAGATGATGGTGACAGCCAGGAGGATTCCTGTCCCCGAGCCGATGGCTCCCAGGAAGTCCGCCATGACAGACAGCCCTCCTATACAGAGCCCTCCGAACGCAGCGGCTGTGGGGATATACCTGCAGAGAAGCAGCAGAATTAGACAAGGAAATAAAGAACGACGTCACCTCCCCGTTTCCAATAAAGCTCCTCTTGTAGCTGGCTAATAAATTGTTTTATGATACGTTACCCACTCATCTATAAACACTTTGTAAGTTGTAAATTAAAGATGAGAAGGAGACTATATGCTAAAAAAATTTGTTTACAAGGTAGTCGGAAATGTTTAGAACAACAACTCTTGATAAAACATGTAGGTGAACAGACTTATCTCACTATTTGGCAAGAAACCTGTAGATTTTGTCTCCTCACCCTTATTTAATGCATAATAAACAGTTATTAATGACTTATAAAGTGTTTAGAGATGAATTAATAACATATAAACCAGTAAGAGGAACCTTCTTGTAAAGTGGTACTGTGATATCTAATGCATTCGGTACCTGTTTAGTTCATGCACCATGGAGGTCTCTCTGTGTCCCCTCATCACCATCTGCTGCTCCTTCAGCTGCTTGGCCACCTGAGGGGAACCACATGACATCCGTAAGCATTTCCGGCGTCAAACACGGCCGCAAATCCAGCTGCGCGACGCGGCACTTACGTCTTTGGCTGAAGATCCCGACACCTCGATCCAGGTCTTTGAGAAGAAGGCACAGGAGCCCAGCATGAAGACGATGTAGATGACGGCGTGAACCGGGTCATCCAGGACAGAACCAAACGACTCGGGAGGAGAAAGGTAGTAGCAGAGGCCTCCCACTGGGTAGGCCCGGGCTGGTCCTCCGCTTGAAGTGTCCTGGAAACATTTTTTTTGGTTTGGTCAGGAATCGTGAAGGGAGCGGTTGTGAACTCGACTCGATTTCACTCGTCATTCAGACGAGTGAAATCTGGAGCTGGGTGTTTGACAGAACTCGATGAAGACGGTCGAGGGCGACTCATAACTTCTGCCGAACAGACGGTACAGTACACAGATTAAAGAGTCCTGCCATGACGAAATTTAAGACCAAAGATTTGTGTTTTAAGGCCAAATTACATAAAAAAAAAAAAAAACAACAAAAAAACTATTTTAAGACAATTTTGGATACATGAGCTCACGACTTTTTAAGGATGTGCGGACACCCTGTGTTAAAGGGGAGTTTTTCCTTTCCACTGCAAGCTCAGTATGAGGGATCGCTGTAAAGTCAATAACGCAAAGCAAGCAATTTTCTACTGTTGGCTACGTAATCGTCCAGGATGAGTCAAGACTGCAGATCAGTCAATGCAATCTAGCTGCTTTCCTTAGATAAAAACTTTTTAAACTACTTTGAATAATTAACTGATCTTTCTGTACCGTTTGATAACTAGGATCAATTGGAATATATGATTGAATTGAGATTTTTTTCTTCTTATCGGTGAAGTGCATCGAGACACTCGTGAATTATAAATTGAATTGGTCCTTGTCAACACAATGAAACTCGCACAAAACAGCTGGAAGAAGACAGATTAGACATGTGGCATCCATTTACTGCAACTGGTTGCACTGAGATTTCATTAAGGGGAGTAAAGAGGTATAAAATGCAAACTTTAAATAAAAGACCAGGCCAGCGACCCCTAATAACCTTTTCCTTCCCATTCTCACTGATGTGATACTTTGTGTAGGCCTACATTAAAATTATTAAAAACATAAAAAATTTGTTGTAACGTGGCAACCCCTGTTATACTTACAGACCAGGTTCCTAAGAGATTGACCAGGAAGTTCCCGCTGAAACGCGTCGACAGCATCTGGGAGATCACATACAGGTTGGACACTAAGGCAGACTGCAGGATGATGGGGATGTTGGAGGTGTAGAAAAGCTTGATGGGGTAGGTGTTGTACTGCCCGCGGTAACGAGCCGACTTGATGGGCAGGTCCACTCTGAAGCCCTGACGGCGTCACAGAAACAGTAATGTGTGATCCAAGTTCGATTTGTACAACGGAAGGTCATGCGGTGCTAAAAGCCTCACCTGGAAGTATATAACCACGGCGAACACGAAGACGGTGGCGATGAGGTTCATGAGGTTAGGCAGGTTTTGTCTGTAGAAAGCTTCTCTGAGGGCGCGCACTTTGTCTGTGCGTGTGGCCAGCAGGTGGAAGAGAGCGATGATGGCTCCCTCAAACTCAGTACCTGGATAAAACACATTGGTTTAGTCACAGTAACAAACTGAGATACACATTATTTCTGTCACTAAGCTTAAGAAATATAAAAAGAGAGTATGTTTTCAATGCCAATACCTCTGCCAGTGTTGACAGTGGTGGGGCTGAAGGCCTTCCAGACGATGGTTTCACAGATATTGGTCGCAATGAAGAGAGAAATACCAGATCCCAGACCGTAGCCCTTCTGGAGAAGCTCATCCAGGAGCAACACTATCAGACCAGCAACAAAGAGCTGGAGAGGGAGAACAAAGATCACAACTTCTGAGCAAAAACACGAAGATCAACAAGGATCCATTTCCACTTTTCCCATCTAAAACTTTAACAGCTTTCTATTCTCATTAGTAATAACCTGAATGATGATCAGCAAGCAGATGCCAGCACCCATCTCTGAAGGATCTCCGTACATGCCAGTCATGACGTAAACAATGGCCTGTCCAATGGTGATGATCATTCCAAACACTGCACACACAAAGAAAAGAAAAACGTCAACAGAGAACAGACTACAATTATTATTATTATTTTTTTTATACAAAAAGTATCAAATGGAGACATCCTCAAATGCAGACGTACATTTCTGAGCTCCATTGAAGAGAGCTCTGTCTTTGGGGGTGTCGCCAACTTCAATGATCTTGGCGCCAGCCAGCAGCTGCATGATGAGGCCTGAGGTGACGATCGGTGAGATGCCGAGCTCCATGAGCGTACCTGCAGGCCAAAGAGGAGGAGAAGAGCTCAGCTGCAGCGCTAAAGAGATGACGACTGAACACATCTCACCAGGAGAACGCTTGAGTCTTTTTTGTTTCACTTGACTTCATTACGCAGGAAATATCAGGGTTTCTGCAGGTCTCACCAACTCCAATTTAAGACTTTTTAAGACAATTATGAATGGAATTCAAAAGCAATATCACCACAGAAATGTACAAACTTCGTCCAACCAACTGGAGATAAATTTGCACTTACCCACAATACATGCAAAAAAAAAAAAAAAAAAAAGCTAGCAAGGGTATATTAGCAGATTTTTACTTTCTGCCCAGCACTTCACCATTCAGTGTGAACCAAGCAGAAGATCACATAATTGGTCACCAGAATATGTCTCTGTGGGTTTTTAGTAATGAGGACTTCTCATGGATCCTCTAGCTTTTGCTTAGACATGCAACATACACACCTCTGTTGGAGGCCAGGATTACTCTCATCCAGTAGAAAGGATCTGCTGAATCTGATGACATGATGCCAAACAGAGGGATCTGAAAGAAATGCATAAAAACATCAACCTTAGCTACCGTGCAGAAAAAGAAAAGCTGTCAGAACAAAGCATCGGACGTGAATACAAACCTGGCAGCACACCAGAAAGATGAATAACGTGATGGCGGTCCATAGTACCTTTTCCCTGAACTGAATCTGTAATTTAAAAAAAAAAACATAAATAAGTAAATAAACAGTTGAGATGTTGATCCTACAAAACCTACAAATGTATAAAGAGGGGGCAAGAGCTTACCTTTCTTTCTGGTTTCTGAATCTCTGGCAGGACTGCGCAGAAAGGCTTGATAACTTCCAAAAATTTAACTGCGTGAAGAAAAGAGAGAGAGAGGATAACTGTGAGATCCGACAACTTTCTTTTGCAACGTCAGCCACATTTTAACTTGACCTACACCTCTCTGACCAGGTGAGCGCTGATGCAACGTCATCACTAACCAGCTGCCAGCGAAGCAAAACAACACCAGAGGTTAAGTGGTGAACATGATCAATGCTAAATATGTGAACCTGAGAAAGCCTCGGAGCTACTGGTGCCACTGCGCAGTCCCTTTGAAATGTTTTCAGTCTCTGTCAGCTCTGTCCATCATTGATGCTGACTATAACAGTAGCTAGAGATTTAATGACCACAACCCAGACGACACAGTTAACTACAAAGGATAGGTATCAGACAGCAGCGTTTAATAACAAACGGAAGACAAATTAGGTGCAGATTCAACTGAATTAACATTAGCTAAATGCTAACTGCTGTGTTTCACCGCAAACCAGCCGATAAAAGCGTTCAAAAGCCACAGCCGACGTTCAACCGACGTTATAATTCTTGTGTAATCTGTAAACTAACTCCACCAATGTTCAGTAAGCCACGGCTTTAAACCTGTGGTCTTTATAAGGAGGTTGAACTTTCCACATAACCTGACGAAGGTTAGCTAATTAGCTTCCCTGCGAGAGCTCACTGTTCCCTCCTCTTCCAAGTTTTAAAACGCAGCCGCTAATTCAGATATCTTCATGAAGATAAGCAGAAGAACAAAAGGGGAAAGCACTTACTCCCCATGGTGTCCTTGGGCCGACTCCTGCTGTGTAGCTGTTAACAGTTTTGAGTGCACAGAGGAGTCAGTGTGGCTCCATCAGCCGCTGCGAGAGGAAAGAGAGAGTCGGAGAGACACGTCACCAGACAAGCCGCAGGCACACGTCACTTCTCCGACGAACAAATGTCGTTTAATATTATCCGCCACAGGCGGCGTGCACAGCAGTCCGCAGGCACAATTTAGCAAGGCTTCCAGAATAACTATTTCCATGTGAAAAATGAGTGATTTTTTTTAACGCTTGCATTTTAAAACAAGCTTCTACTATCCACAAAGTCCTCCTGTCCGCTAGAGGGCGCCCCAATACTAGAGTAACTGGTGGCTGTGATTTGGAGACTTCAACCCATATGACTTCAACCAGCCAACCAACCCCACCTATCTGATTGAAGCTGCAGATCTGCAAACCGTTTCTTTTGTTTTTCTGTCTTTGTTCAAGTAGGGGCAAGGTAAATGCATTCAGGAGAATTTTTAAAACCTAAAATTGAGATTTATAAGACATTTAAGGCCCACAACCCCTCCCTTTTGTTCATTTTTTAAAATTAAAGATCATGGAGTTCACATTCAAAAGTTTTACAGATATTCACTGTTTTCAGTTACAATAAGGACACACCAGAGTAGAATAGAAAAGAATAGAATAGAAATATTATGGAGAGAATATATTCTGAGACTATTTTCTCTCCATAATATTATTATTCCAGTCCCATAGGTAGTAGCAGGAGCGTAAGTGGAAGTATTCATATTCACACAAAGGAAAACGTAAAAATAAGTATAAGCGCCTGCACAGTAAATTACAACATAAGACTGTAATACTGTACACGTATTGACAAATAACATACTCAGATTTAAAGAAATGTGCAACTTGTAAAAAAAAATAAAAATAAAAAGAGATAAATTATAACAGATATATCCGCACTAGGCTTTTTAAACAGTAACTTGAATATACTAGCAAGTTATGTTGTATCATTATTTATTCAGAAACATTATATTACAAAAATAAATCGTTTCTCCAATCTTGCCCCCTTAATCTTGGAAGAGTTGATATTTCCAAATCATCCAGCAGATGGAGCAGGAGTCATCCCCAACACTGTTGTCCAAATGTGTGTTTTTCTCTATTTTCTTTTTTGCTTCTTTTATTTTACACCAACGACAAAGTTTGACGATGTGTTCACAAGAAATTAGGAAATTATCTTTTAAGTTATGACTTTGTTGACACAACTTTCAAACTAAGATGGTTTGTGCGTTTGTCAACATGCCCTGTGTGAATTCAGTTTTTCCTAGATTCCAGACTGACCCTAAATACAAATATTATTATCTCCTTTAATTCAATTTAACTGATGCTGTAACATAGATAGGTCTACTTTTTTCTTCCTATTTAAGATCAACCCTTTGATCAACCACAGATGTAATGCACTGTTATTTTCATGAAATTACATAATTAAGAACATGTTCAAAGGAGAAAAAAAAGGAAAATATGGCACCAGTTACGTTTAACACATTTAGACTGAAGAATAAATGCTTCAAGTGAGATTTCAGAAGTACAGAAATTAAAGAATGATTTCAGTAGTAATATTTCTGCTAGCCACTAGAGGTAGTTGTTTCCCATGTGGTGTATGAAATTATTTTTTTATTTGTTTACATTTATTAATTGGGACCGTAGCAATGCATATTGGCACCTACTATTCTCCATCTCTTAAAGAAACTCTTTATTATGTATTTATTTATTTTTTTCTGTCACCATCAAAGCTGGTGTATGTAACTTTTAGTAAAATGTTTTTACATTGGTTAATACTGTCACCATGTTGTGACAGTATAATAAGAGACACATAATCTATGAAACAAATCAAGCTGCTACTCTACACTGCTCCTGGTTGAAAACAACCAATTAGAACCACGAGGAGGATCTCTTGTACTGTCAATCAACCTTGTGAATGCGCTGCTCAACATGCTAATGGTGGAGAAGCAACTTATTGTTCCAAGAAATCCTTTTATCCGCCATCGTAGGTGGCCACGCTGACGAGCCTGAGCAGTTGTGGCAGGCTCTGGTGACTGAGAGAAACTGCAGCACAGCAGAAAGCATGGAGGAGGCTGTGAACAGTATGTACACAAGCATGATTGACATGCTTCAAACAGTGTTCAGATCTTACAGTTATTACCTTATGATATAGGGTTCATGCTTGTAACATCAGACATTCTAATGCCATCAACATGATGGTAGCTCAACATTCTAGTGATAGTTCACAGACTAACATTAGCATTTAAGCTAACATTAAAATTTGAGCTATTTTTTTTTATATCAAAGCTAATCTTTACATATTAAATAAGCCAATGCTAGTCAGCATGCTGGTGACAACCCATATTCTACTGATAATGTCAACATGCTAGCTGCTCAACATGCTAGTTACATCATGCTAACTAGCCCTCATGCTAGTTAGCATGATGATTCAGAGAAATGTTAGTCAACATGCTAAACTTAGCTATATTTTAATAAAAATACCTAAGTTTAGCATAGTGAATGGAGTGAGTTATTGTTAGTCAACATCATAGTGATAACCCACATATAACTGTTAGCATTTAAGCTAACATTAGCATTTTACCTATTTTTAGCTTATACACCAATGTATGCCTACTGAATGGAGTAAGTAAATATTAGTCAAAATGCTAATTATTAACAATATAAAAAGGTAGCAGTTGAGGTAACATTAGCATTTGAGTTTATTTTGATATAAAAACTAAACTTTATATGCTAAATGGATTAAATGTATGTTAGTCAACATGCTAGTGATACCCCACATCCTATCAACTACATTTTAGCTAAATTTGTTATTGCTGTCCATTTTTTAAAATCAGAAGCTATGGTTTTGGTCTGACCAATATGCACACTGTGGCATTCCCCTTTTAAATTTCTACAGACATTTTATAATTTATTTATTAAATTTTTTGCCTTGTAAAGAGCATAATTAAAATCTAAAATAATAATTTAGTAGAGATACGATTTATAAGGAGGGATTTACCCTGTCTAGTATATGTTTAATTCATGATTCCTGTGTCGGTTATTAACTTAGCTTGTAATGCTTTCCCTATGGCCCAGACTATAGTAATGCAGCAGAACAAACACACACACACACACACACACACACACACACACACACACACACACAAACACACTCACACACACACACACATGAATACACACACACGCACACAGAGAGAGAGTGAAGAGTGCTCTGAAGGCCATTCATCTTGATTTAGATAAAGAGATATTTGTTCGCGTGGTTACATAATGACCAAAGAGCTGTGAGCTAACACAGAGGTGAGGACAAGCAAACATCACAAAGAAACCCTCCAGTCTCGGCTCTGTACTGTGAATAGTTTGCCATATTGTGGCTTGAATTCAATAAAGTCTCGACTGTCGACTGTGCACGAATTCTGTCGAACTCTGAATTAAACATTAAATTCACCTTATGTCTTAATGAACTGAACTGTAAATTAGAAATGAAACAGGTAAGCGGCAATGATTTAACATTTTATTGAAGAATTTTTTACGTGCAAATGATGCTTTTTAAAAAACAAAAACAAAAATGAAAGATAGACAAATAAAGAAGTGAGAGCGATGTGGCTTTCTAATAACCTGCCTCCTCCCTGCAGGTGGACCTGCGTGTCCTTGCAGATGTCCCGTGTGTCCTTAATATTTGGTTTATGTAACACATGGAACTGCGAGCAATGAAAAACAAATGCAGAGCACTGTTTACATTTTCAAGTAGCAAGTACACTAACAAGATAAGAGCACAGACTGTACCTCTGGCGAGGTGCTCCAAAGCTAACGAGCTGTCGGGGCCATCTGAAGAGACAGACCAACAAGCGCTGTGGGTCACTGGTCAGCACTGTCCTTCAAATAACCTCTGCTCTTTTTTTTCATTATTTAGTAAAATAAAGTGAGCAGAAAGCAAACTGAGCTGTTGTTCAGTAGCTCAGATGTGGCATTGATCTGATGTGGCGCATGGAGGACATGTCTGATGGATCTGTGGCTCAGGCTGAGCAAACACTCTTGTCCAACATCCAACTTTACTAAACCAGGCCTACCAGCCAGGTTTAATAAAACGGCAGAAACTGGACCAAACATTCTTTGTCATCCAAGCAGCTATACTGATTGATTATGGACGAGTGTAAAATTTTACTTTTAAGCGGCTTTTCTGTCAAATGACTCAATGGAAGGAAATTAAACATCTACCTAACAGCAGTCAACTTTACAAATTGTTGCTTGACGTACACACTTATCACACACACACACACACACTACTGCTGTCATAAAATCCATCACATTGGATCTGGCCTCATTTCTATAATAAATTACACACATCACCAGACACATATGCCTCCACCTAGTGATGTAGTGCAGAGTGACACAGAAGTGCAGCGTGCCTGAGGGAGTGAGGCTAACATGTGAGGAAGATGTGATGATGATGATGATGATGATGATGATGATGATGATGATGATGATGCTAACACATAGATGAGTCATACTTTGTCTTATTTATTTATAGGAATGAGTGAACGTAAACAGCACAGTTCACCCTGAGGGTCATCTGGGCAGCGTTCTCAGCAGATCATGAACGGACATCAAGAAAACTAGCCTGACAGGAGCTGAAAGTAGTTTTAAAGGAGATTCATCAGACTCAAAGGAGTTTCTAAAGACTCCTAACCCATGAGTAAAAGGAATCAAAAGGTTAATTGGAATAGAAAAGGAAATGAAGTAATACTTTCTGTCTGATCCTGAAACGCCATCAGGAAGTGAACATTTTGGCAGCCGGTTAGGACTAGAGAGATTCAAATGCCTTTTTGTGTTCATTGTGTGTAGACTTTTTTTAAAAATTTAAATCCAAAACCTCATGTAATCCTCAATTAATCCATTTACAACATGGCGCTGCAACAAAAAAAGCCACACGATACATAATCTGAGAGAGCAGACGGTCTTTTTGGGGTATTTTTTCTTTTTAATTTCACCTTCACTTGTGCGTAAAGAGTTCGTCTGGAGTTAATTTATGCCTGTGATGGTTCATTACAGTAATTAAGAGGTCGGTGTAAATAGTTTTG